TCCTTCGTCGGAGTAAAAGAGAAAAGAAAAAAGAATAAAAGAGAAAGAAATTAAAAGAAAAAAAGAAAGAGGAAGAGGTATATCTTTAAAAAAAAAAAACAGAATTAGCCCACGGTATTCCCTATTTAATCATGACCTCCTACTTTATAATTCTCAGTCAAGAAACGGCTTCAAAAGGTAAATCCGTATTTACGATCATGAATGATTTAGGTATTTAATTAATATTGACACGTTTAAATTTATGACACCAACTTGGCTCACAACAAGACTGAGAAAAAATATGCTTTTCATACGCATGCCTAGCAAAGGTATCACTCAAAATGGGAACGCAACGTGACACTAAAATGGTTTTTATGACTTGACACTTAAATGGCTTCCAATGATGTTAAAATGATTTACTAATGAATGACTTGACAGTGAAATGGCTTTCCGTTGTTTAAGTCGAACTCGAACTCAAACTACGAGACGTAAAAGTCAGAGACTTTAAGAAACTATAATTGATGTATCAGCGTAAAAAGATTATTTGAATGTAAAATTGAATAAATCATATAACGTGTGCAGCATTTCGAAACAGCCTAGCGGCACAATTAGACTAAATGACTCAGCTAAATTTACTGTATGCAATATTCCCAATCAGATTTTTTTTTTCTTTCTTTCTTTCTTTTTCTTTTACATACTTTAGCTTCCTAACTGTTCATTAATTAATATATTGCAATTCTACAAAATTCCATATATGACGGTTTTGGAAAACGATTTTTTGATCGTACTGAAATATGAGGCATATTTCTAGCTTCTGTGGAAGGAAAAACTATCTAAATACCAAGTTTTGTAATGAGCTGTATAAATTTTTCAAGATTTGTTCGCCTTGGTAGCGTCAATTTTTTTCCACAAGCGAGTTTAATCAAGTTATGAGATGAGAAAATAAGACGGCTGAGAAAATTCAGTAAAATGCTAATATACAAGAGTATACGGATAATCTAAATTATCCCCCAAGGTCTACTGTCGTCAAAAATTCGTATAGTCTGAACCATTTAATAGCCAAAACTGACCTAAAATAAGTGTTGTTTTTACGAAGTTTGGCGGGAGTAAATTAACAAATTATTTTAACACCAATATTAATTTTCCTAAACCGTCTTTCCTCTATACAAACGATCTAGTTACAATTATGACTATTTGAATTATTTTTAGTGGGTTATGCGTTTGTTTTTAATCGATGGAGATATTACTAGAAATATAAATAATTGTTTTTAAATGTAGACCAATGTTGTACGGTAAAAGGTGTTTAACTGTGAGATGAAGGGAACCAAAAATGAAAACGGTTCAAAGAAAACTTATTCAATATTTATGCTGTTTTGAACTAGCTATTGCTAGGAATAATCAATACGTCAAGCTTTAGTCTAGTGTTAGCGGTGTTCTATAAAATCCTATTTCAAAAACGGTTTTCAAGATGGAAAAAAAAAGATTTACTAGTTTCATTTGAGGCCATCGAGAATTCTTTCTTTTCATAAAATCATTCTTTTTTTTTTTTTTTTTTTTTTTTTCATTTTATCTTTATGTTAAAACCTTTGTGATCTTTCTAGAAAAATCTTGACTTTCCTTTTAGAGATTTTGTATTTTATTGATTTATAACTAAAAGTATTTTTGCGTCAAAAAAATAAAGAATAAGAAAGAAAGCCTTCAGATTAAGCTTAATAACTATGGCTTAAATCGAGCAAGTAGTCCTAACATTAAGCACAAAAGCGCGCGAAACGAAGAGGAGGTTCGTTTATCTTGAAAAGCTCTCTAGAACTGCGAATATCATTATTTAGAACAAAGAAAGAAAAGACTTCTATCATCGAAAATACTTAACAAAGATATCTAAAGGTAAATGGAGATATCCGTTAGTCTAGAACACTCGAATTCAAGTTGAGCTGAATTCCTAAAGACGTGTACATCAAGAGAAATCACTCGTAAGCAATTTTTTCTATCGAATTCTTTTTTTAGAAAAACAGAACAAGAAATGCAAGAGGCTCGTAATGACCATTTTTGTAATTATCGATCGAATTAGAGAATTACACGAGGATAAATCCAAAAAAAGGCGAACAAAAATAACTATTTACTATCATTTTGGGATTTCCTTCGAGTATTTTAAGACTAGGTATTTATATTTCTCATTTTCTGAGTTCTAAAAGAGGGAAAACCCATTATTATTTGAAGACATATAGTGCAGAAACATCTGCAATCTGACAGCTAAAGGGCGTGAAAATTTTATCTCAATTACTTTGAATAAAAAAAAGAAAAAAAGTCCATAACAAACCCGCTCGCTAGATTTCCCTTGCCACCCTAGTCGCCATAAAGTCGTCTCGTTTGAATAGTTTTTTCTCGAACTGACGTCGAGTCTCTTTTAATTTTTATTAACAGATCTGAGTCCAATTAGGCACTCATTAATTCGAGCTCCATTTAACAGCAGGACCACTTGGTCAATACAAAATGGCAGAATAAGACACGACCTTGAATTGTTTGTATTCGCATGCATCAATTCTTAAATGTTAATAAACTGCTTTAGGCGTGTATATTTGTGTATTATAATAATTACTCTGGAAAGAAATTGAAAAATCAATTCGTATTTCGAGTCTTTACTCAAATCTACTAGGACGTTTACAGAAAAGTAACATAGCTTGTTTCCTGTTAGAGCAAGCTTTAAACAAACTGTTAAAAACGATTTAACAGACGTTTTCAAAAAAGTTTTATTTTATATCTTTACGAAGCTCTAGGGAGAAGAAAAAGTGAACGAAATCCCGCGTTGAACTGTAGTTTTTACATTACGAAGATAATCGTGTTAGGTTTTCAGTCGCCATCTTTGTGTCAAAAAGTTCTAAGACTCGAACGGACCTCTTTATTTCAATATGATAATAGCCTTCAGAACCGTGTTAATATTCTAATAAAATGTTTCAGCCGGTTTACCTTGCGAACAAAAGACCAGAGCGATTCTTTAAGAAGATTTGGTTCGAGTTAATACACAAACACGGTTCTTGTCGCCCGTAAGAAAAAACTCGCAAAGAGACTTTTTTCCCCTTTTCTCTTGCCTGCTTCTAACTCCCTGAATTTAAAACAAAATTTAAAAAGAAAACAACTGAAAACACTTTGTTTTATTCTGTCGATAAGCAATCAAATATTTACCATACATCTGCGCTCATCATACCCTAGCCTCATCACGAATAACGAGAAAACGCTAAAACCCCAGTTTCTCGCAGAAGTGTACTAAGTATTCTATTTAACGAGGATATGAAGATTGGGACTAGATACGTTAATATATATTGATCTGATGTTAAATTGCGTTCGTTGTTTATCAATGTCTTTTTTTGAAGCTTTCATTCTGAACGTCGCTCCAAAGCGATAAATATATTTAGGAAGCCCGCTCTTCTTCATTTGCTTTTTTAAGAGTCATTTCTTTTGTATTCGTAATATTTCGAATTAGAATGATTCGTTGTTGAAACCTGTTTGGTCTTTGAGAAATGAGAGCATAAAACGAGAATATTCTATCGAGACTGTCGATCATGACAGGTGAACTATCGCTCTTTGACACTAGAGAATAAGACCTCGGTTTGAATGAGTTTTCTTCTCTCAAAACAAAATACTATTCCCCCCAAAAATTACCACTCCAGATTCTTTGTTTTTCTTTGGATTTTAACAGTTTAATGTATACCAAGAAAATGTCTGATACATTTAGGATATTTACAAGCAAGAATCGTATAGCAACAACTCGAACTCTCCAAGTATTCAACAGAACAAAAGGATTGTACAAGCATTTCCGTTTCGTCTTGAAACAGAATAAATCTAAAGTTCACGAGCTATTTGTTTTGTAAATGAGCTTCTAACCATTTGCGACCAATTCAAGTCTATTTAGTAAAAAGCTACAAAGAGAAATTTGCTCATTTAGTCTCAATTTACTATGTTTGACGAAACCGTTTTTAGAAAAATCTCATTTAGGTGATACTTTTATAATCTTTTACCTTTGTTTTTAAACTCTAACTAGAAAAAAACGGCTTTCGTTTCTTTATCAACATGCATATTGACTCTAACGTTTTAAATAGCTAAATATGTTTTTCGTTTTAAGGTCTTTGGACAAATTGGTTCCTAGCTGGAGTTCATTAACGAATGTCTCATGTCAGTAAAGTTTATTGTGTATACCAAAGTACTTAGGACAATTATGACTTTTGATCAAACATTGCCGCGAGTAGTGGCGTCTCTTAGCTATAGCAAGCTATCTTAAAAAAATACTCTACCTTAGGGATATAGCGTACCAAGATTAAGGTTTATTTTTTAGTTAAACCAGAAAAAACTTTAAAATCGAAGTCAAAGATTTTTTTTAGGAGTGAAAATGATGAAACAAACTCTAGTCTACAAATTAAAGAGCATAAAGAGTAGTATTACTTCCTCTTTATTTCGTTTTTATTTTTTGAATGGGCTAGAAGAATGCAAGGAGTTTAACTCTGATTCCAGTGTTTAAAGTCTGAGTTTAGCCGCTTTGAAACGGCTTTTTTCTCGTACCGTTTGGCAAATTTCTTCGTGTTTAAGGTCACTAGTGATAACTTGGAACAAATTCGAAGGCAGACATCGACGAGGAATGGTTTTTGGCTTTAATTCGAAGAGCTTCGAGCGCCATTTTAGGTTGTTCGTTAGGATACGCTCCTTGGCAGGTCCAAAGTTGAGCATTGTGGACTGGAAGTTGTGGCGAGCCCATGTAATTTTGAGCTGAAGCGGACAACGAAGAAAGCAGACCTGGATAACTACTATGTCCACTGACTGAAGGCATTCCTGATGGAAGGCTTAGGAAATAGTTGGGTGTTCCACAAGGGATGCCTGGTCTTGGAGCGATTGGAAGTTGGCCTCCGTTGTGCCGATCATGATGAAGTCTGTTCTTCTTTAAGAGAGACTGGTTTGGATTCTGAAGTTTGCGCCACTTCGCTCGTCTGTTTTGAAACCAAACCTAAAAATAATAAACAAATAATAATAAAAAACAATCGTTAACAATTGATCAAGTTTTAGCTGCTTGAGGAATTAAGAGCACGAAAACAACCAATTCCCCCCAAAAAATGGATCACTTTTGCCGAATAAATTGAATTCCAATTTCGATATATAAAAAAAACGTAGAGAAGAAGCTCTATCGTTTCTATCTATTTAGCTAGAAACTTGACATAAATAATGCTTTTTAGACGAAGTATTAAAATATCAAAATGATGTCAAATGATTTGATCAATTGGCAGGGTGAAAATGGCGCTAATTCTTTTTACCTGCAAATTTTATTTAACACTAATTCTTTTCACTACGTTGAAATAATTTTTCAATTTTGAACGCTATTAAAAGATTGTCTAATTKGAACCGGCTTAGGAGTCTTGAAGCAAATGGTTTAGCAGAGCATCTTGTGTCTCGTAGTTTTCAGTACGTCTTTTAGTGGCCGAGTTTGCGTCTTCTTCGTTTGATTTTTTTTTTTTTTTTTTTTTTTTTTTTTTTTTTTTTTTTTTTTTTTTTTTTTTTTTTTTTTTTTTTTTTGTGAATTGTTATTCTGTGATTCTGTGGTAAAGAAAGACCGAAATTTTGAACTTTCATGACCGAACAAGAAAAAGAAAAAGGTGGAGTTTTCTTTGTCAAAACGAAGACAAGAATTTATTTTTATATCCTTTGACCTTCGGCAAACCTTTCCCTCGATCACTGAAGGAGTATATTTCAGTTATTAACAGTATCTCTGCAACTCGTACAAGGTAAAGAATACTAAAATTCAATTACTTTAAATCAAGGGAAAAGTGCTTTTTCAAGTCTAAAAATTTCCGAGGCAAAAAAGATCTAGGTGAATATTGTAATAGGATTATTCTTAGTTTGACTTGGGGGGATTTCGAACACGGCCACGCCCATTCGCGATGGCCTGCATAATTACAAAGTGGCCTAACGATTTTTTCTCTCCCTTTGAATTAGATTACAACTACGTGTTAAAGTAAATTCGAATAGCAATGAAATTAAGATGATAAATCCTTAGTAGATTGTGGAGAAGGAAGGGTATTTTTACGTACCTGGATTCTAGCTTCGCTAATGTTGATTTTGACAGCAAGTTCCTCGCGAAGAGCGATATCGGGGTAATGTTTTTTCTCGAAGACCTTCTCAAGCTCTTGTAGTTGCTGTTTCGTGAAAGTTGTTCTGTTCCTTCTTTGCTTTCTTCGAACAGTAGCGGGGTTTTCGCCATCGCTCGTGTTATCAGGTGTACCGCGAGATGGATCAGGTTGATCAGAGGAATAGCTTCGATAAACAACTGGATCTGTGAACACAGAAACAATAAGAGGTCAACAAGATACACTTATTTCCTGTCCTCAGTATTTACTCATGAACTTCCTAGATCTATTAACTCATTTCCTGATACCGGAATTCAGGTCACAATACTTGTAGCTGAAGTTTACTCAAACGATTTGGTTTTTTATTCGATGCGGGCAGGAGATTAAAAGATTTCGAGTTCCAAGAAGTCTAGCAACGCTTGCCTTTTTCAGTCATGAACTGGTAACATCTTATTCAATGCAACGTCCAAAATATCAACGACGATAAAACGAACAAAATCCTGGAATACTCACGGGATGAGGATAGTGGTTCAAGTCCAATTACATCACTGAGGACGTACTGATTCTGAGCCTTTGGCAGCGCCATAGATTGTCCAATAGTACCTTGAAGCATGCTTCGAGTTTGGAGTGTGTCAGCGTTTTGAAGTTTCCCTATTTTGGACACTACTTATTAGCCGCTTTATGAAGTCATTACATCTACATTGCTTAATTGTATTGTGTTAGTTTGTAGCAGGTGCTATTTCTAACTCTCACCCATAAACTAAAACCTATAAAATGAAAACTCGGTCTCGTTTGAATATAGACAATGGGAAATTTCATTACCAATGTTCAAACCAGTACGGTGCACCTGTCAAGTGCTCGCTCGCTCGCCCTTACTGGATCCCTAATGCATATCATTTCTACTTGAAAAACAATGTAATATCAATGCTAATATTCTTTTGAATAGAAAACGAGTTTACACACTATAAACAACTAGCGGGATGTTGTTGCGAGTTGTTTTAGTAGGCAAACACTAGGGTTGATAGAAACGACTTCTCAGTAGAAAGGACTTGTGTTTTGGACAGGTTATTTTTTCTTTTCTGATGCGCCAGTTTTGGGGCCGTTTTAGTACGGTATTGTTTTATGAAGCCTGATCGAATTCAAGGCTTCACAACCACTAATTAATACGAGTAAAATAATATTTAAAATCAACTTGGGAATTTGATTTTCTATTATCGTTTCTGGCAATCTTATTGCAATTTGATCACATTTGGTTGTGCTATACTCTTTTTACTTTTTTTTGGCATTTAGACAGTCTTTTCACCTCACGCGTCATTTTTCCCCGATCTGAGTTTCAAACTTCGCCTGAGGTGGCCCCAAAATTCAAGCAAAACCGAGAGCAGAATAAATGGAGAAAATTTCTCAGCCCTTGGAAAGCGATATGCTCCCCCAGTCTCAGTTTTCATGCCTGTCAGGCTGGAAGAGTGTTGCTACATCAATAGAGTGGAAGCTGGGCGTGGACAACTCAGCTACTATCGTAATGCTTGTATTTAGTGACTCAGGTGCCCGTCTTAATCCAAAGCTAAACTAGAGAAGAAAAGATTTGAAAGACTCCCATGGACTTTGGTTCATACGCAAAGGCAGATGTCTTCTCGCAAATGGTGCGAACTTACAACGCCGATCCTGCTCACCGAGTCCCTCTCCTCAAAGCCGTTTTATTGGCACAAGCAATAATCACGATTCAAGCTTTGTGAAGACTACTTTTCCACTTGCTTCAACTTGAACAGATAATTATCAACATTATAAGAAATCTAATAATATTTTGTTTAATGTTGATTTGCCTGGCGTCGGCATGGCATCGTATGGAATGGATGCTTTTTCGCCTAGTTGGCACTTTTATGCGATTTTTCTCGACATTTGAAGCACTAACTGGTGTTAATAATTTGTACATACGCTACTTATCCATTTTCAATACATTTGTCAATGTGAATATCACAAGTTTGGGTCAAGGGTCCTAAGTAAAGACGTCACTGGAAGTTTCTTTGGTAAAAAAAAGGAGAAAAAAGAAGGCATATTGTTTTCAAAGGGTCTGGAGATAGTGTCCAGACTGTGGGTCTGTGTGATGTTTACACAAGAATCGGTCATCAACGACAATCATAGGACGGAATTAAAACCATTAAAACATATTCGTAAAATTACAGAATTCTTTATCCTTTGTGCTTGAGTAATTTGGAGTTCATTTAAACGATTACCAATAGAGTGAGCGCAGAGAGGTCGTACCATTGTCGGTATAATCCGTTCATTGGTTAACAAAGTAATTCAATAAACAGCGCTCGGCCGAAAACACATAACAGAGCGACTCCAACTATTGAATGCTTTGAAACTATTGTTCTTAATACGCTTTTTATACTAAAATCTTCGTCAGATAAAGAACTTTAGAACAAGTTTTCCTTCTTAACGAAAAGAGATCTTTTTACTTGATAAATATTTATGTTCGTTCTTCACGTCGGAACGATTTTACGAACATAGCACGAGTTTATGTCGGTAACTTGTTTTTTTCGATGTGGTTGGAAATTTAGAAGAAAAATTAAGAAACTTTTCTTTCACACAAGTCTAATTAAAGTGCACTAAGTTGGTTTGAATTGAGATAATGAGAACTGATTCTATATTTAAGAGTAAGATTTGTAAAGGAAATTCAAAACACTGAAATGGTTTTTTTACCCCAAAACAAAAGACAAGCAAGCTGCAGAGCAAAGATAAATTCAACTATCAAAATTGCAAACCGCTCTGTTTTTCCCAAATACAAAGGCCACGAGACAAAGAAAAGGGAAACAGTTGATAAAAAAACTTGTCTTTAGGCTTTAAATGGGCCTCCTCGAATAAAGAAGAGAGCTCTAAAGGACTTCGTGAAGATTTTCCCTATTTCGTCTAACAGCGTCACTGATAAATAAGTTGGAATACCCCTCGTCTCTAAGGCTCCCAATCCTAATCATTAGAAGAATGGCGTATTTTACTAACAAAAGATCATAGAACCCTTTATATTGACCAGTCCATTACGCACCAATTAAACGGTAAATGATGATATATCGACTCAGGAATAAATTGATTATTTTTTCATAGATTTTAGAACAAACATGTTATATATAGATCGTGGCACTTTGCAAAATGCGCGCGTAAAACTGTCTCCTATCATCAGTGAAGATTTTAACAAAATAATCCCGGTTCTTAAATTTTTTAGCTCCGAAAAAATGAGGAGCAGTTGAATGTATTCATAACAAGAACAAAAACACCGAAGAAAATGAAAAACTCGGGCCTTTAATTATTTCACATTCTATCATGAAGTTTGGATCAAATGACAAATTACGATAATAGGCTTTAAAAGACGAGCTCTCTTTAATGTGTGTGAATAAAAGGAACAAAAATACATAGTACCTCCACAGTTCTCAATTTTGAAGGAACCCTATTCTCGATAATCATTGATCTTTGAACGTAGAAATTAGAATTTAAATAGATGCACAAGACCACCAACTGAGGAAGTCGAAAGGAACTTTGTCCGTGGCGCCGCTCTAGGGCAAAGAGTATTTCATTTTCTTTCATAATTATAAGTAAGACGAGAGATGAAGTAATTTTATGCATTACACTTGATTAAAAAATTCGATTGCTTTTGCTAATGGTATTGGGGAAGTCTTAGAACTACGCACACACACATTTCATTAGTTCCAACAAAATATAATAACCAAAGAAGCAAGAACCCCCACAATGTTAGGGTCGTTTTTTCAGATACTTGAAAATGACAACAACTAATAAAAAAAAGATGAAAACAAAAAAGAAGACACAGATCAAAAGCTGGTCTGAACTAAAATTTTTTTTGATAAAACCACCTTGAGATAAAAACACGATATTGGTATATTGCTTTAGCATTGTCTAGCAATTTACTATATTAGACCGAATGATATCGAGCTTGCTCTCATATGCTTGCGTTTAACGACGATCAAAACGAATGATTTTAATTTTAATACAGCTTTTGAACTACTCGGCATTTCAGTCGTTTCAATCAAAAAAAGACTTACAATATTCTTCAACATTTTAGAGCAATTTCGCTTTCAACTATTTCCAGACGCTCATTTATCACTGACAATTAGTTTCTACAGTAGAATTAAGTTTAGATTTTCTTTAATTTAAATATATCAAATGTTTTGATTAAGATAAATTTTTAAAATTCGATATAGACTAGACAGAATTCGATTCCTTTATTTTATTTTATTTTATTTTTAGAAAAAAATATATTCATGAGGACATTAAAAATTAATGAGAAAAAAAAAAGGCATCGTTTGTGAGATTAATAGAACCAGACAAAAAAAGAAAAACTAAAAGGTTGCTTTCTTAAACCTTTTTCAATAAAAACCCCATGAAAATTCCATCCACCGACACTAAGAAGTATAACTTTATTTCGTTGAAATCAGTTAATGTTTTTAACCAAATTTTATTAAATAGTCCTTTTGGTCTGGCAGTATATTTATAAAATAGAATAAGTTCGAGGTGAAAATTGTTAAAATGAAAAATGAAATTAGAAAATAGGGGAAAATTTGTTTATGAGTTCGTTTTCTTGTTCGTAATTACGAACACAGCCTAAAGCAACTATTTGCTAAACTAATATACTAAAGGCAAACTTAATCGAGCTTACTATATGTTTACTTAAAACTGTGTTTTCCTCACTGATATATAGTTTAATTTGAGGAAATAGTTTACTCTATTGCACTATGGCGGGATAGATTATTCAAAAGCGCTTTGCTGCAGCCTGAAATTAATCTGACCATAGATCTGACATATGCAGAAAGATTAGTTGAGTTTAGTGTACGATTTCTTCTCAACTTATGTCAATCAGCACTTATTTAACTGTCTTTAGATTGTAATTGTCCCCTTAAAACAAAAGATAAATTCCTTTATTACTTATCTAAATTTATTTAATGTGGCAAGAGAATTCACTAGCCACAAAGAGTACTCTACTAGTAGCTGTTTCTGTTAAATTTTGACTCTGAAATATTTTCTTTAAAAAAGTGCAATTTCTTTCTAGTTTTTACTCATTTATTCTCTCGTTTTCGCTTTCTTTTTGTTCTTCCTCTGTCCTTGTTTTATTCAGCTGTCCCTAGCCAGAGTACTTTTGAATCATTACTATTAATATCATCGAAAACGTAGATCTTTACAAGCGATTTTGGAATTAATTCAGCACATCGAGAAAGAGTGTCGCGCTTAATAATGATGAAGCTGTGAAACTGTGAAACGACTAGATTTATGGCAAAATCATTGGCAATTCTTTCCCTAAACAAAAAGAAGCCGTATAATAGGATTGTTTCTAAGAAGACGTGGTCTTTCACTCTCTTTTCCAATTATTCTAATCCTCATCATCCAAATCCCTGAATGGAATATTGCATCGTGATTTTCATCCCCCAAAAAGCCTCTACAGAATAATTTCCTCTGGCACAGAGATGCGTCGTAACAAAATATAAAATAAAAAGACTCAGTACAAATTCGGAACGAGGGTTTCCTTTGAAAAGCAGCCGATCTAACATTGGAAAAGGTTTTAAGAAATGAAGTAAAATCATGATAATGGTAACTATGTGTTGAGTAAATTACACGGCTTCTGTGTGCTAGTGTGTTAGCACTATTCAAAAACCCTTGCCTTTTTTTGAATAATATTTTTTTGAGTATCTATAAAGTATCTTGAAATGGCTTGATTTAGCAGGCATATTAACGTATCTATTGTGTCATAAAACCTAGCAACATATAGTCATTGTAGTTAATTAAGCTTTCAATCAATAAATATGCCATTATTTCAGGTTATTAAGACCAACGAATGACTACGTTTTGATGTGCAAAATGTTATGAAATTTTAGAGAATGAAGAAAATCAACCAATTAAGATTTTATGGAAGAAAATAAAAATCGCAAAAAAAAAAAAAAAGATTAATGTAAACATATCATTACTGTAGTAAACCTATTGTCAACGAAACAAGCTCTTTTAATGAAAGTTGGCTTTTAATTGAAGTCTGTAATTGAAATATTTCGATTGAGTGTAAAGCCTACGTTACCCTAGCTCTAAATTGGCTTTCAACTATGTACTGAAAACCAATCAAAAAACAGAGAAACGCACGTCATCCAATCACAAAGCGGAAGCCATTTGAGAGTTCGGTTACCGAGTTTCTTCTCCATCGAAAAAAATTTCTTTGAAAAWTTTGAATTCAATTTTATGTTAAAAAATAAATTAATAAGCGATCAACAACAACAAGATTCAAAGTACTGGAATATTAACATTGTCAACATCGGGGAAAAAAGTTTTTTTGTTCGCAAAAAATTCGAACGTTTTGATAATCTGGCCTAAGTGGTCAGCGGCATGTATTGGCCGTGTAAGTAATTCATAACCTTTATCGACCAGTAACATTCATTTTATAACTGTCTCTTAAGGCCCATGTCTTTGAGTACGCTAGGCTTTTGGATTGCACAACAAGGTGTAGGATTTCGGAATTAAAGAGGATGATAATACTTTGAAAACATTTCAAGAGGTTATGAGAAGTTAGGACCCGCCTATGTTTTTTTGTTCGACTTGGTTTAACTTTCTTGGCGTGTGGTAGGAAACAGAACCCTGACTGAGAAAACAAATAGATAAAACTTTATTGTCTAGTTAAATAAATGTTTTGACTTTCAACACGTGGATTTTGATCACGTTCTAAGATCGATAACCCACAACAATAACGAAGAATTTTAGATCGAAATAAACTTCGCAACTTAGTCAGGTATACCACACTTCATAAAAAATGTGTCATAAAAACTTAGCAGTGCTTGATAAAGACATCATACCTTTTCTCAACATAATTTGAGTTACGCTTTTCTTTTGCATAAACTTATTTTATAGCCTAGCATTCAAGATGATTTTCAAAAGGCTCTATATCATCTACATAAAACAAATAAACCGTTTTTGTTTTACAATAATAGACATTTGTTAACAAAACTGTAGCCCTCGTTACATAATCGAATTGGATTTTCAAAAGTTGATGTTTGCAAAAACCGAGGGAAGAAACGAGGAAAAAACCAAGGAAAAAAAGGAAAAACCTGAAACTAGTAACTCTGCTCACCGGCATAAGATGGATTGTTCCTTCGTTGAAAGACAAAAAGAAAACTATTGCCAAACTACCGAAAAACCGAGTTTTTCTGGATATCAGTCAAACTATATAAAATACTATGTGACTCGCTGCATGCATCTTGCATGTTGCTCAGTAAAAATACTCAGCACGGGTCAGTCGAATTTGACCACCAACCCGCAGTAGAGCCACACTGTTTGAAGTTTCCGAAATTAGGTGACTGAATAGCGTGGGCAGCTTAGAGACGGAGTTTCCCTACAGACCGCGAGGGACCCTAGTAGAGTTAACACGTACTATTGAAATAATATTGAATTAGAAATGGAATTGTTTTGGGACATGTTTTATGACCACGCATCCTGCCTGATGACAAATTGCATTAAAAAATAATAGTATTTGAGTAAAATACAGCTTCGTGGTTTGTCATCATGGCTCGTGTGAAATACTAGGTCGAAAAACTAATAAAAAATTATAGCAACCAGAAATGCATCAAAATATCGGCTCGATTTTTGTTTTATTCCGAGATGAAAGCTCTACAGTTTGAAGGCGTCAATACCAAGGGCAGACTACACATAACTACACAATTTGATAGGGTAACTAGATTTGCACAAAGTAAATCAAACAAGGTTTAGATATGAAGCACTGGACGAAACGAAATAGAGACTACACGACCAGTACAAGCTCAGAGAACAATTTACAAGGTATAAATGAAGTGTTGGTTGGAAGGGTCTTGTTCAAAGTCCAACATTGCACAATTCCTGTCACTACAGCTAGTAGCAGATACGTTTGTTAGGGACATTGACAATTACAACTATACCAAAAAAAATTAAACCGACTCACCGAAGAAAAGATTTTACATTTTAAGGTAAATCCAAGAGTAAAGATTACGCGGACATCAAAAACATGAATGTTTTGCTTTTTTGTGTTGTTCAGACAAAAACCTCTGTTTTAGGATATGATTTCTTTATTTACTATTATGGCTAACTAGAAAGATTGTAAGCTTCGGTATTCTATATTTTTTTACTTCGTAATTGTAAAAACTCTCTCCGCAAAACCTGGTAGTCAAATCAACCTTTGTAATGTAGTGTCGTATCACAAATGAAGACATTTTTTAAACATTTCAATCAAATAGTTTTGTCTAGTTTTAAACATAGAGGGGAATGGTTAGGAAGGCTCTTCGATTGTCTATGTTTCAAAGAGGAGGATAAGCACACGAATAAATAGAAAGGTGGTAAAATAAAGAGCGCAAAATGTGTACTTAACGTCAGATAAAGTTATACAGTTGTGTATTTCAAACATTTCTTCTCTTAATTCAAGTTTATTGTTATATTGTAGAACATCTGTGAAGATACATTGTTTAACTTGGATGAAAGCATTTGTCGTTTGAGCGCTTTTGCATAGGATTGTTCAAACTCTCAAAAGTACCTCAATTAAAACGCCCTTTAATGAAAAGAATTCAGACCTTGTTTATAATTCATTTAACAGAACCGTGACCATCTGTTTGCTTAAAGTGTAAGAAATTCTCCAACTTCTTATTCACTGTTAGAAAAAATTACACATATACAAAATGAGGCAAAGCTTGCTAACAACCATTGGTTAAAAAAGTTAAAATGTGCAAGGATTCGCCTTTTTTCACCCGGATCACTCGTTGGCCGAGCCATCAAGCTTTCCACGACCGAAGAAACGAGTTCTTACATGATTCTATAAGGCTTTAGTCTAACATTTTGGACTTTTATTTAAACATAGAGAAGAAAAGTAAACAAAGAAACCGTAAAAAGAGAAGGTATTAGCAGTGCTTGTGAGAAAGAGTAGTTCTTTTAATTTTTTTAAACTGTTTTTAATCTATTATAAAAGATAGATAAATGCACTCTGTCTGAAGGTAATTAGGATCTTAAATTATACAGTATAGATCCATAACAGGAAATTCAATGAAACCCAATTGTTTTACAATATTATAAACTACTTTCCGAACTGTAATATAAGAAGTTCTTCAAATTTTTAACACTACTAAAACTATCTCAATTTAAGTTTTTTTTATGGTGAAAAACGACTATGAAATAAAAATAATTTAAGTCATAATACGAAGATTTACGAGACTAAATAGGCGACAATACTGATAATAATTTGGATAAGATTACATTTTTTCACTATTTCTCCAGGTTTTATTACTAAAGGTTCATGCAAGGTTCTGGAGAATTCTGGCAAATCCTCTGTGGCGCTAGAACGTTCTAAAACTGAAGCTTCCAATTCTGAAGAATTATAAATAATTCATCAGGGTTTGAATCATTTGTAGAACGTTTAAGGGGCACTATTTTAAGCGAAGTAAAAGAGTACTAAAAATTCTTCGAAGCTTCAATTTTTTCGGCCGCTCGTTAGTTGTTTTGCAGTGAGCGGACAACAGCAACAGCATCAATAACTTCTTCAACACTCGCTCGACTCAGAAACATTAGCTGCAACTGAAAAAAATAATTAACAGGTAGGAATTTTATTTTCAAAGGTATATATTCCTTCCTTCCTCCCTCTTTCCCTTCCTCCCTCCCTCCCTCCCTCCCTCCCT